TGGGGGGTGGGTGGGGGGAATTTTCCAAACGTTAAAGGTTTTTACAGGGGTAGCGACACGTAACACATGCAAGAACGTGTCTTGTGTACAAAACAGCAGGCGCTTTCATTTCCTCATTAATTACTAATACTTTTCGTTTTTTCTCTTTCACCAAAAACCATCAAACCAAAAAGTTCATTTTTGACCGTCTGATCTCTGCTATCCCTGTACCTTTGACCTGTCACTCACTATTCCTTTTTCTTTTTTTTTAATTTTTCTATTGATTATGAGTGAAAATGAAGATATTCAAAGTTTCAAACTCAAAACTCTTTGCATATAAAGTCCAATTTTTTTATAACAGTCTCGTTAATTCGAATTTTTTTGGCTATTATACTGCTATTATAAAAGATATATATTATAAATTATAACATAACATATAAAACTAGTTTCAAAGAAAATTTTACTGTTATAATTATTACTCCATTCGTTTCAATTTATGTGAATCTGTCTAAGGATAGAATTGTAAGTTTAAGCTAAATTGTTTCCAAATTTAGAAAGGAGTCATTCTTTTTGGAACGGATCAAAGAGGAAATAGGTTCACATAAACTGGAACGGAGGGAGCATGGAGGATGACTTTTATAAAAAGAGTCTGGTTGTATATTCATATCCCTTTTGATTGAAAGTTGAAACCTTAATTCTTTACTCCTATTGATTACAAGTGGAAATGAAGATATTCAAACTCAAAATTCGTTGTTCAAATTTTTTTATAATAGTTTTATTCCTGCGAAGTTTTCGGTTGTTATAGTGTTGTTATAATATATATATATATATATTATAAATTATAACATAACACGTAAATTTAATTCCAAAAAAAATTAGGTATTATAATGAAGTGTTATTATAAAGGATGTTTTTATAAAAAGAGTGGTTGTATATTCATATCCCTTTTGATTGAAAGTTGAAACCTTTATTCTTTACTCCTTCAATTTCAATTTATACCACATATCTTGATCCAACACAGCGTTTAAGGAAAAATATAATTTTTTTAAAATTTATTATCTAAAATATACTAATATCTATGTGATAATAAATTTTTGCATTTTATAACCTTAAATACGCCATAACATTGTGATTATAAATTATTCTCAAAAGATGAAATAAGAAGTGTACAATTACTACAACAACAATAAAAAAAAAATTAAAAGAATCATTTAATCTCACAAGTAGAGTCTGAGAAGAGTAGTGTTTACACAAACCCCTACCTTTAAGAAGGTAAAAAAACTGTTTTTACTTAGACCCTCGACTCAAAAAGGAAGTATACAATTAGTTATTTTAAGATTTTAAAAATATACTCCCTCCGTCTCATAATATGTGTCGTGATTACTGAAAATAGTTGTCTCAAATTATTTGTCGTTTTAGAAGTTCAAGACAAAATTGATAATATTTTGCCTTTTTAACCCTTAATAATCAATTGCATTCACATTTAATAAAAATATGAATAATATCATTGTTAGAGATAACATATAAATTGAAAAAGCATTTAATAAAGGTAAAGTAATTAAAAACTATTCTTTCTTAAGGGGCGTACAAAAAAGAATCACGACACATATTATGAGACGGGGAAGTATTATTCTTTTTTAAATAGATTAATATAAATAAAAAGTGTGTTTGCATAACTTTGGAGCAAAGTTGTTGTAATCCCTACATAAATGGTTGACTTATTAAACGTGGCATTAACAAGTCTTTTGACCCATTCAATGAAGAGATGTATACAAAGTTATCCTTACAGAGGAAAAATGGAGAATTTCCAAAGGAGGAATTCCTCCATCTTATTAATTATGGCTCATAATAATAAATATCTAGTACAAGATTTACTATAACAAAAATATTAAAAAAAATATTTTAAAAAAAAGGGCTTGAGACCTTTCAAGATTTGCTCTAATTTATCAACATCTCACTCTTGTGTGGTAAATCTTTTGCTTTTTTACCCCCTTTCTATCCTGTTTTGTTTGTTCCACAGCCACAAAGTCTTTCCTATTTACAAATATACCCAAGAGGAATAGAGGAAAATACCATTTCACTACTGCCCATCTTCCACTATTGTGACTTTACTAGGCAGACATTCTCCATTGCTATGGACATTGGAGTCTGTATGCAGTTCAAGCTGAAGTCGAACGATAATGTTCTCGTCGGAAGAAGATAGACGCGGCTGGATTTGATCGAAACTTGGCCCTAAAACTTTCTCAACCCATTGTTCTAGGCTTGTCCGACCACAGAATAATCCACCTAGTATCCGATCTACTATATCGTCTTCCACTTCGATTGAGACCTTGTCATCGACGACCATTGAGAATTTCGTGCTTATTGTTTTCTTGATCTCACGTCGAGCAAAGGGATATTCAATCGGCTTGAATTGTATGGTATCGTCCACTGAACTGACGAGTTCGTGAGGAACTGATGCAACTGAGAATCGCCTGTTTTCAAGGCCGTGTTCTTCTTCGTGCTCAACAGTTAGATCACTCGAATTGTGAGATCCATCAGTTCTATAATCCTCAAAATCTGCTGCTTCGTTAAGATCGAATGCAAGTCCTAGATTCAATTCTTTTCTAGGTCTTGTAAGCCTGTCTTCATCATGCAACCAACTCGCTCGTCGCTTAGCACTCTTTTCACCCATTGTTAACTTTAACTGCCAATTGGAACTAGCTAGCGAGACGAGTTTCTTTTCTTCCATCAAATACTCATTGCTGTAGCTCTCGGGGCTCATTGCAGACCAATTTCCAGTAAGGATGAATATAACATTGCCTAGACTTATCTCACGGCCATGTGAATCGGTAAGCCTACCTCTGTCCATGGCTCGTTTTATGTTTCCACGAACTAGCACATTTGCTTCATCAATATCCTCGAGCATAATAACTGAAAGTGGATTCCTCCTAACAGCCTCTGCGATACGGTCTACAGCTGTTTTGCCACGGAAACCTACATCGGACTCTTCATCATCTCGTCGTGAACCAAGGCATATCATTATAGGACTGTTTCCGCACATTTGCTCAGCAAGAACTGATGCCATCTTTCTCTTGGCAAATCTGTCGGGACCAGTGAATAACAGCCATATGTCACCCTTTGATGCACCACCGCGCTGTCTCCCGTTCCCCAATCTGCACCTTGACACAGCGGAAGCTACAGAAGAGGATGCATCTCGCTGCCACCACGCTTTTTCCATTAGACCCTTGAGAAGCCTTTTAAAGGTATCAGCATCTAATGCACTAGCAAATTTGTCAAGTAACTTGTTCTGAGGCACAGAAGATATGCAGCTGAGGAAGTCCTTCGCTTGAGCTTCCAAAGTTTTCTCACCGGTAGTTTCATTCGGTTTTTGCCCTAGAACCAAGTCAGTCCTAACAGGGCTGCGTGGAGGACTAGTCGCTGCCTTTTCCGGTGGTTGGCTAGCCATTTGGGTGGTGTTCAGTTGCAGGCTCACTCCCAGGGTTCTGCTCGGTTGTAGCTTAGGCTGTAAAGGTTGACGCAAAAGCAGGTTCGGGTTATACAACCCCGGCATAGAGAGAACAGGTGATACCATTGTTCTTTCATGACCAACATTGTGCTGGAAATTAGGATGAAGTTGCAAGCATGTATCGTTCCACTTCTTTTGCAGTTCTTGAGTCTTCTGCTGCAAAAGTCCTTGATCCTTACTCTGCAAAGACATCAAAAGACAGAATAGATTCATCACTCGCACGCAGTTAAAGTCATACTACGTTTTCATTAATTAAGTACTAACGCATACCTGCGACAGAGTAGTTACTTTAGTATCATTCTTTAGCTTGGCATTTTGCAACCACTGAGGCAACTGAGGTCGAGGAGATTCTGATTTAGCTTCTTCAGCAGATGAATTCTCAAACTCGGATACAAGTTTTGCCAACTCGTGTTCAAACTTCTCCTTGCACTGGGGACAACACGACGTCCTCAATCTCGGATTTGAATTCTCAGGTAAACGCCTCAGCAACGCAGGCACTGGGGTGGCGCTAAAGCTCTTCAGTGGATTCATAGGATCCAAGGAATTTCCAAGAATTCTTTCATTTCCAAGCCTAAAAGGTTCAAACCAATAACCAAATCAAAAGATCGCTCTAAAACCAAAAAAGGAAAGTGAACATATACAGATATCTAAACATCCAAAGAATAATTCCAGAAAGAGCATCTATTACTGGATTACGCACACACACACAAAAGATTCAAAGATACAATTTTTATCCCAAAATGTCAATTCAATGACTCAAAAAATATTCCCCAAAGATTAATATTCAATATTCAAAGATTCAATTTTTATCCCAAATTATCAAATTCAGTGACTAAAAAATGTTCCCAAAGATCAATATTCAACATTCAAAGATTCAATTTTATCCCAAGTTGCCAAATACAGCGACTCAAAAATAGAATTACTGCAAACCAAATACCTTGGAAATATTCCGGGATGAGGAGATCTTGAAGCAATAGGAACAGCTTGAAGATCCCAATCATTTTCCATAGTAGAATGATAAACTTGACACCTCAAATAAGTCTCACAAGTTGCTGTACCAATCAACCATAATCTATTATTACCCTCTCGAAATCGCGTTAATAACTTTCCCATTTCAGCCACTGCTGCTTTTCCAATCTCAGAAACCATAGCTGGTTGTTGCTGCTGTTGCTCAACCAGCCATTTCAAATCGCCCAAATCAAGAATCACTCCACCACTACTAATTTTCCCCTCAATTATCCCTACCAATTCCTTAATCTTGTTCACTATCTCGTTTTTATCTAATTCCTTCTCCATTTGAACAATTTGTAAATTCTTCAAAACCCCTTCTCCCAATTCCCCTTTCTCAATCTTCCTTAAAACCTCTTTCACCACACTTTCCGGCTCTCTTTCCCCAACTAAAACCGGGTTCCTTTTCTTACTTCTCAACAAAATTTCCAACACCCTTTTCACTNCGGAGTCGACACAGATTGTGTCAACGATTGTTCAATTGTTGCCTTAACAGCTGGGCTAGAAAAACTAGCCTCACGCATAACACGACTCACACTAGGATCATCTAGAATAGATATAATCAATTGTTCTAATTCAACTTTAACAGCTAAAAGCGGCTGTTGTTGTTGTTCAGGACAACCTCTACGTTGATGCGCTTGTGCCCGCTTTAAAGCGGCCATAAGCGCATTAGAAATCGGGGGCTCAGTCCCCGATGGCATATTTTGTGCAGTAGGTAACCGCTCCAGCGCGACGCTGAAGCAAAGCTCCAACGCTCTGCACTGGAGCGGGTGAGATGAATTAGGGTGTGAACGGATACAGGCTTGACGGAGAAATCCGGTGGGTGAAGAGAGTAAGGTTGCTGCCACGTGTAACGGCGTCGTTTGACCATGGTTACGCCGACCGGCTTCGGATATTGAGTGGTTTAGTACGGCTGCTGCCTCTGCCGTTAACGTTTGTTGAATCGTACTCAAACCTGCCCTCATAATTTTGACCAAAATTAAATAAGAATATTGTACACAACTCTATAGAAATGAAATTTTTGAGGAGAAGATGAAATTTAAGAGAGTTTTATTGAGTTTTTTTTCTCTCTCTAGGAAAGATGATGATGAAGATGATAAAAGGAAATGAACAACACATGCACACCGTCTTCTTCTTTTTCATTAAATACCCACCTCACTTCTTCTTTCCTCCAAAAATATCCCCTTTTTTACTTGCTATTATTATGACATAAGCTAAAAGATTTAAATAATAGTGTTGTTTTTCCCCACCCGATATCCGTTATCCATATTGGAGCTCGACTATATCCGAATTTACGCCGTGTAGGACCCCATTCAGGGGGAAGCACTCCCTACCAAGTATTTTTCCATACACATGGCTCGAACTCGAGACTTCTGGTTAAGGGAGGAGCAGTCTCATCCACTGAACCACATCCTTTGGTGGTAAATAATAGTGTTGTTATTATTTTATTTTATATAGCTTTGGAAAAAAAAAACAGACAGTCCGGTGCACGAAACTCTCGCTATACACAGCGTCCTGGGAAGGGCCGGACCATAACGGTCTATTGTACGCAATCTTATCCTGCAGTTATACAAGAGGTCGTTTCCATGGCTTGAACCTGTGACGTCCTGGTTACATGGCAGTAACTTTATCATTTATGCCAAGGCTCCCCTTCAGAATCGGTAAAGTAGCTAACATGTGACTAGGAAGTCATGGGTTCGAGCTGTAGAAACAACTTATTGCAAAAATGTAGGATAAGGCTGCGTACAATAGATTCTTATAGTCCGACCTTTTCTGAGATTCCGCATATAATGGGAGCTTAATGTACAGGCTGCCCTTTATTTTATTCGGTTTTATTTTCTTGTTGTTCCAAGAAAATAATATATTCCTATGTTTGAAAACTTTTAAACTTTAAATTAGTCCTAGGTTTTTCATTGGTTTTTCATAATTGATATATGTTTTTATATTAATAGCAACAAAATAAAATATTAAATAAAGTAACAATCTATATATTAGAAAGTTATTACATCAAAATTTAAAATTTTATCTTCAAACTACAAAAATTATGCTTCAATCAAAAATAAAAGAATAATGAGGAGCTCACTCATGTAACCAATATGAATTTCGAAAAGGAGAAAGTTTTCATTAAATTGACGATCAACGTAAAACTAAATAATTTATGATAAATTATCATATTATTAAATTTTAAATTTTATGTATGATAAATAATTGTTGATGGTAGGAAAGCATAAAAAAAGTTAACAAGACAGATAAAGGAGGACATGGTATTGTTTGTTTTTATTTTATGTTCCCTTTTTGAGTTTTAGGTGGG